AGAGAGAGAGAGAGAGAGAGAGAGAGAGAGAGAGAGAGAGAGAGAGAGAGAGAGAGAGAGAGAGAGGGGGGGGAGAGAGGGGGGGAGAGAGAGAGAGAGGTAACTATGTTAACCCTGGACATTTCAAACGTCTACGGGCTCACCATAGCCCGTGCTACTTGGAACTTTTTGTTCCAGGTAGCGAATCATTAACAACAACAACAGTTCAAACGTGTTGTCATGTCGTTGTCAAGTTGTACCATACAACTTATTTTCGAAGAGTTAAGACAGCACAAACTCATACCATCATCACCAGGGAAGGCAATGTATACTAAATACAATGTATACTATACAGTATACTAAATGATTCATAAAGCTCTAGTCATTGTATATATATTTACTATTATGGTTATGCCATATATAAACATCAAACCCAAGAGTGAGCAATAATTCAACCCTTTATTTCAGAATATTATAATATACATGTTAACAGAATAATTTATGTGCAGAAATTATTACGGTGTAATCTCGTTGGCAGGTGAATTGAGAAGTGATTAAGTCATTAATGAGGAATGACTGTAAGACGGGAGACCACGTGACTGGCTGGCTGGCTAGTCGCTACAATAACATTGTTGAAGCCTTCTTAATCAGGTAAGGCTTCCCCATGTATTAACTAATCCATTGTAGATGTAGTTTAACACCTAGTAACACTGTAGTGATTGTCTACCAATCGATGATTTAGATTGGTAGATAATATATAAATAATAAACTTGTGTAGGAAACGATTTGTGGGAATTTATATTATACAGTCCGCTATCGAAATAAATTAACGTAAGAAATGAATTACTATATAAATTAACAAATTGTAGATGAATCAATAAATCCCACGAGTCGGTTTTCACATACACAAGTGTCTTTATTTAACATTTCTCTTGTTAGGGTGATGTCATGGGCTTGTCTGATGGGATGTCTAGGGGCACCCGATTGAAGATGACAGGTCGAACGCCTCGTCAGCTTGGTCGACGTCATACCTAGGGACCTAGATTGAAGGTTAGATCCTTCGTGGGGGCAAGTGTACATGTATACAACGCTTGACTGCTGCTAAGGGTTCTCCGTCGGCTTCGGGCTGTTTTTAATAAGGAGATCGGTAGTGTTCTTTGATTTATAGAATATGATTAGGTCTATGTTTTGGCTAGTTGTGCTTTTTTGCTCCTTTACTGATTATTTCTTTCATTATTCCTTCTTTTTTATGTTCACTGTGTATGGTTGATTTGTAATATAATTTTATTGGAGGTGTTGTGGTTTCTATTCTTGGTTCAGGATTATACCATCGGTCCAGGTGTTTCATAGTAGTGTTTATTTCTGTGTTGCTATATCCGTTGTTCACCAATACCTGAGTTATTCTTTCAAACTCTCTATTCACGTTGCTCCATTCGGAGCAGTGGGTAAGGGCTCGACGAATATAAGCATTGAGAACACTGGCTTTGTATCTTTGGGGGCACTCACTTCTACCGTTCAGGCATATTCCTATGTTGGTAGACTTAGTATATATGTTGGTGCTTAAAGAGGTTGACCAGACCAAAAACTAGAAGGTGAAGGGACGACGACGTTTCGGTTCGTCCTGGACCATTCTCAAGTCGATTGTGAATGGTCCAGGACGGACCGAAACGTCGTCGTCCCTTCACCTTCTAGTGTGTGGTCTAGTCAACTTACTTTAGCCACGTTATTGTGACTCATCGCCTGCATATGCTTAAAGAGGTTTCTGTTTTTGTTACTAACACATCCTGGTAAGTCACTGTTATTTTTACAGTGACTATTTTGTCACTATTTTCACTATTTTGTCACTATTTTCATGGGTAAATCGCAGTCCTCTCTCTCTAAATGCCTTTTTAAATAAATTAGTTCATCTGGGTCTTTTACTATAACGAATATGTCATCTACATAACGGCAGTATGCAATTGGTTTTTACCTACTGCTGAAGACTCTTTCTTCGACGGTTCCAATGTGAAAATTTGCAAATAACACTCCTAGTTGCCCATTGCTACTCCGGCTATTTGTAGATACATGTCTCCTTGCGGACTGATGAAAGGGGCTTCCTTTGTACATGCCCTCGAGAAGGCTCTTCAAGTGTGCCTCGGGTATGTCTAATTTAGGGGTGCTCTCGTCTCTGTATACTCTGTCCAGTATCATTTCTATGGTTGTGTCGACTGGGACGTTGGTTAATAGGGATTCGACGTCCAATGAAGAAATGATTCCATCGAGCTGTGTTGTCTTGATTATTTCTAGAAAATCTGCTGATGATTATAGACTATAGTTGCTGGGCGTGTATGGCGTTAATAGTTCGTTAAGTATATTAGCCAAGTGGTAGGTTGGAGTTGGTATTTGGCTGATTATTGGGCGTAGTGGGTTACCTAGTTTATGTGTCTTTACATTGCCATAGGCATATCATAAGCCATAGTCGCCTTGGAGCTTAGCGAAATGAACACTACCTCTCTTTACGTTGATTGCGATAATAGTTTTGTTCACTTTACGTTTAAGGTCTTCCACGTAAAGTGAACAAAACTTTTACCCCCAATCAACGCATAAAAATTATGGGGGAAAAGGGGGAAAAAGCCGGTCAGATAGATTTACTTACAGATATATCAGGCTGTTGTGGTTTCATTGTGTACATTACAATGTTTATTTATTACACGTCGATGAGTACAAAGATGTTGTGCAATGGCAAGAAGCTTTGTCAAGTTTATAAACAAGATTAGCTTAGGTTATTGTTTACAAAAGTGGTGGTTGGGGACCCTTCTTTAGCAATGGCATCTGTGCAGGTGTTGTACCCCCGAGTGCCAGCCACTCTTGGTAGTGAGAAAATCCACTAGAGCTGTGAGGAGGGCTCAAACCTTCGACCAATGCTCAACCGCATACTCTAACACTGAGTATGCGGTTGGCAATGCATCGGTCGCGGGTTCCCGGTGACCTTACAGCCTAATAGATTTTCTCATTTCTAAAGTGAATTACGTGAGTGTGCTTTCTGTGTAGGACACTTGGTAGTTTTATTCCTACGAAATGTTTGGTGCATTTACGGTTGAATTCTCACCATCAGGAGATGAGAAAAGGGTTAAGTGTACAGGATCATTAGAGCTTAGTGTGTCCATCGCAAACGATCGTTAACTCATGAATTCTGTCTCGGGGTAAATCAAATTACACTGGTCTCCGCCTCTCAACCGTGTGTCTACTGGTGTACAGGTTCTTAGGCTTATTAGACTCTTATCATATCTGTATTTGAAACTGTGTATGGGGACTGCCTCCACCACATCACTGCCTAATGCATTCCGTTTATAAACTACTCTGACACTGAAAAAGTTCTTTCTAATGTCTCTGTGGCTCATTTGGGCACTCAGTTTTTAGTTTCTTAGTTTGTATGGTAGTGAATATGAGAGGATCTTCACTGTCCTGTATGACAGTGAATATGAGAGGATCTTCACTGTCCTGTGTGACAGTGAATATGAGAGGATCTTCACTGTCCTGTGTGACAGTGAATATGAGAGGATCTTCACTGTCCTGTGTGACAGTGAATATGAGAGGATCTTCACTGTCCTGTGTGACAGTGAATATGAGAGGATCTTCACTGTCCTGTGTGACAGTGAATATGAGGAACATCTTCACTGTCCCGTGTGGCACTGGTCAACATTTCCAATCGCTCTTTTTATGATTAACGTTCTGCGAATTTATTGCTAAAATATGCTTCTAAAGATGAAACTTCAATATTGCTGTGACAGTTTCACTGGATAATTAAGCCACCATTCTCAGATCTGATGATGTGGTAAAAGGATGGCAAAGATGTTCAACTTAATGTTTTGAAAAAGTTGACTTTGTAGGGCACAGTTATAAGGCTGTTGGCAGCCCAAGTTTGGAGTCGAGATTTTAGAAGGTCAAGATTTTAGAGAGAAACTATCAGAACATTAGAAATCTTTACGCAATTCATGTTTTGTATGTCTTAAGGAGATGGGAATGTAAGATGAAAAAGGCAAGAAAGATGGAGAGGCAGTTGGGTAGATATTTGTAGCTCTAAAGAAATCATAACACAAGGATGAAATTAATGCATCAGGTAGTCTGACCAGCCTGGGTCAACCAGGCTGTTTGACCTAGATAACCAGTAGTGGGAGTTACGCCAAGTACCTGCCGTTTTGATTTTTTTGAGGGCCGGTACTTGGCATAAGTGTTTTTCGTTACTCCGGTAAGATTTCGCTCCCGTCTGTGACCATTTTCTGAGTTGTACCGTAGTCATAGACTTTCGACGGCAATAGGTGAAAGGAAACCTTCCCAGTCATTTCTATCACTCAGGCAACCAGAGTGTGAGTTGAGAACGAAGCCAATTATACTACGAGACCACACCATATGTTGACCAGACCACACACTAGAAGGTGAAGAGACGACGACGTTTCGGTCCGTCCTGGACCATTCTCAAGTCTATATGGGTAGCATTGTGAAGTATACATAATAAATAGTGTGGACGCAGTGAGAGTGAAAGAGGACATGGGGGGGGGGGGGAAGGAACAAGGGTGGAAAAAGGTGTGAAAGGAGGATGAAGATGAATGCAGGCGATGAGTCACAATAACGTGGCTGAAGTATGTTGACCAGACCACACACTAGAAATTGAAGGAACGACGACGTTTCGGTCCGTCCTGGACCATTGAGACTTGAGAATGGTCCAGGACGGACCGAAACGTCGTCGTTCCTTCAATTTCTAGTGTGTGGTCTGGTCAACATGAAGATGAATATTTAACTATGGAAAGGTGAAGAGGTGCGCAAGAGGGAAGAATGATAGATAAGACATTAGTATGAAACTACTGTAAATGCTCTATGAAAGAAAATAACCGATGAGTAGATACACATAAATAGATTAATTGAGGAATAGGAGCAATATGAGGTAATCACTGGAGGAAAAGACAGGGGGGGAAAGTATCTATAGATACTAGACAAGAGAGAGAGAAAGAGTAGGTATCTAAACACAGAATAAAACCACAAGGTTATTTCTCCATTGTTTTATTGTTTAAACTGTACCATGTCTTATTCCACTCTAGCATATACTACATCCCGGTATAGATTATCTACAACAACTGTGTCTTTCATGTATAAATGGCGTAATACAGTAGAGACCCCACATGTAAAAAAGAACTATACAATCATTCTTTGGCGATTGGATTTCATTATGACTAGCGTTTTTTTTCGTCTAAGAATGTCCATAGATTATAAAGTGGTGCGCAGTGTCACAGAGACAAACAGTGTCGCAGAGACAAACAGTGTCGCAGGGACAAACAGTGTCGCAGAGACAAACAGTGTCGCAGAGACAAACAGTGTCGCAGGGACAAAGTGTCACAGGGACGAACCACCTGAGAGCTGGGAAAGGAGTACTGGGTGACGCTGGGGGGGGAAGGGGGGACTACTATTTTACCAGCACTACACGTCACAATGAAATCCATACAATCTAATTTCAATTTTTCTCATATTAATTACATGTAAACGCATGTGTTTATTGGAGTTTTGGATGTAAAACAGCGTATGGGTATCAAAACACAATTACCCAATGGCAATCTTTCTTTAATATTATTATTATTACCTTTCATTAGTATAAAAACTCTAATCTGATAACTGTATGTTGAGGATTTTATCCCGGAAAATTAAAACATTTAATAAGGTATCATAATCATTCTTTTATATTCTGAGCAGCTTTGTGCTAAAAATAGAACTTTCACCCATGGGCAAAAATCAAGGAACGGAACTCTGAACGAAGGGTTGAGTGGTCCAGGGGGGGGCGGCGAATGATGGTAGGCCTATCCCTGAGACTTCCTCTAACCTACCTGGTGAGGCAAGTTGCCCACACCACCACACTCCACGACCCTCCTCACTCATGGGGGGGATAATATACCCTTACAAACCCACTTGTATGAACGTGTAAAAATGGGTCGGGGGGCCACAGAATACCGCCCCGACCACAACTATTGTATGAAATAGGGAAAGGGAGGGAGAGGGGGCAAGGGTCGAGTGACAGATCCCCAGCAAACACACTGCATAACCTTCACGTTTTGTTTACGTTAATTAAACGTGATGAACGTTTTCATAACGAAAAAAAAACGTTTAGACTTCAGTGTGTCTTTCCTGGGCGAGGCCCCTGGCCATGATTGAGTTACGTTTTCCCAAGTATCTTGAGAGTTAAGAATAGCAGTCTGGCCATAGGCGACAGGAAGAGATGGGAGAGGGGAGGGATTGGGATAGATTTTTTGCTAAATGTGAAGGTTACCTTTGGGATTTATATTTGTTTTTCATTGTCGAGATTACTGGTGCCGAGAGATGAGGAGGTGAGGAAACGTGGCCGGGAGTGTGGCAGACGGACTCTTTGCCTTGACGTTCACCAGCGATAAATTAAGCGTATACTAAAAATAATAAATAGACAGTGTTTTCACATGTAAAAATACTCTCATTATCAACTCTGTAAAACAAAATAATATTGACTAGATTTCTGACTTCTGTTTAATAAACACCACCAATATTATTACTACAGTTACGATATAAAGTCGTCATGACTGTCCTGCCCTCTGGATGGCAGGCGATTCCACACACAACTAGCCAGCGGGGGCATCGTGCTCAACTCTTCACATCAACAACGACAAACGACGACCTGCGGCCCTCTTGCTCTTTCTCAACAGCTGCAGGCCAGGTCTGAGCCTAGACTTCTGCCGCCACCAACCTGCGATGCTCGGGCATGTTTGGACCCGGACAGCCCGCGGAGGCTGCACTGGCCAGGCCGGGCCGCACCCTGGCCGCGGCACTAGTGCTATATACACACTTGCCCGCGCTCGCCTAACTTAGCAATACTTTATTACGGTCGTAATACTGTGGCCTAGGTCAGATTAATGATGCCTGGAGCAGGTGGTGGGAGGCGAGGTCACTATAGTCTCACTTACCGGGGCTCTGGAGGCTGCCTGATGGGCATATGTGGGCTAATTGTGGCCCAACGGGTTTGCCACGGCCCACTGCCTTCACTGTTAGACCCGTATTGGTGCGAGGAGGGAGGGGAGGCAGCCCCTCATGGTATATGACCCCCCCACCTCCAACAGCGGCCTCCCCAGCCCCCCGTGGCAGGTGAGGGGGACCCTATAGGGCCACCCTCATCAGTGATGCGGGCGAAGGGGGGATCACCGCCCCCCACTCTCGCTACGCGGCACCTGGGACAACCTACGTACGATAGATAGTGCATATTTCCTATGCAGTATATATGTATCATTATATTATGAATATATATTACATTCTTCTTATTAACCTAGTGAAAGCTGACCGCAGTTCAGGGTGGTTTGTCGCGGGCGAGCGGGGTGCCCTGCTGAGGGCGGCTGAGGGCAGCCCCTGCCCACAAGCGGCGGTACTGAGTCCTCGGCAGCATTTGTATGCTACAGCAGGGGGGGCAGGGCTGGCCACGGCGCCCTGGTACGTGACAGTGGTACTTGGTACGGCTCAGCCGATCGCAGGTGCCTCCAGCCAGTCCGACCCCGCGCTGCTACAATACACTACCATCGGTATACATGACTGCCTTACACTAAGCATTTTGGCTACAGGAGGCTACGATACTGTTCCGTGGCTCATGCTGCGGCGGCTTTAGCAGCAGCGAGGCCACTACAAGCCCACTGAATGACTAGCGCGCACTACAAGCTTGGCAACACCTACACAGATATCTAGGGTGAGGCTCCACACCGACAGCACACACTTAAACTACAGGATGGCAGAACATAGTAGAATCACTCAACAGTCACAAAAAATAACCAAAGAAATTGGCCTACAACTACCTACATGGGTTTCTGGGGGAAAGGGAGGGGGGAGGAGGACCATTCTACAGATCACGTCACACACCCACCACCTATACACACATAGAGAGTGTCCCATTGAACATAGTCACCAGATTCCCAGAATGAGAGTTTGTACATTGCGAGCATCAACATACCAAGCCCTCCTAAATAAAATATTTACCATTTTTTCAAAACCCATTATACAATACCATAAGAAAATATAGAACCTCGCACACAAATATAACAACGCTTTTAAACCATTGTCTGTGCTCATGAAATTACTTAAGAGGGCATTGTTATATCTTAGTAATACTGCACTATATATTTCTTATGTACACCCTGGTGGCCAGTGAAGCTAATGTTGCTGCTGTTTCTAGACTCGTCTTCATTTCTGTGATATCTGATATGTGGCACACTGTTACCCTTCTGAAGAATCTCACTACTAAACCTTAGAAATCAGCGTTTTCTGAGCCTTGGAAGAGTTACGTCTTGGTGATGTAAGGGCCTGGTGAGGGTTCTGTTTCGGAGATACTGAGGGATAAAGAAAGTTCTGTCTGGTAGGTACTTCTGTCTTGAAAATATTTGGGGCTCTGATGTTCTGTCTTGAATATACTGGGGCTTTGGAGTTCTGTCTTGGAAAAGGATTTGTTTTAGAGTTACTGGGAATTGGAGGAAGTTCTTTATCGCTTGTGGTAGGATCTGTCTTGATGATGGTAAGACTTGGAGGACAAGTTTTCGGTCTTGAAGAAGGGTTGCCTTGAGTAGAGAAGGTTTTTGTACAGGAAAATATGGAGAGTTGAGAGGTCTTCCTCTAACTGGGCTTTGAGATAATGCTTTCAAATAAAATATTGAATATAAAGACGTTCCTGTCTTGGAGTTTTGGTTATAAAGGAGCCTATCTTGCTGGCAACACTTTTGATTGAGAAACATAAGAGATTCTTTATATTGTCAACACTGATTTTTGAAGACGAATTTTTGCATACACTAAGATGCTTTAAAAGTGGTTCTGTTGTGAAGATATTGACACTTGAGAAGATTCTGCAGTGGAGAGAGAGGCTTGAAGAACGGGGTTTCTGCACTAGACGTAATGATGCAGCTACAGACAGAGTTGCAACAATATGAAACCAGCAACATTGCGGCGCGACCACACAGTCAGCGACGGGGGCCTTCGCGTGAGCTGACCAGGCTGGGCGGATCTATCACGCCCATGTCCACGCCCACGCCCATAATACTGGAAGGATCACTGTATTTAGCACGCCCGCGTTTCTACAAATTGCACCCATTGTTACCCGTGGTGGACCCTTTGTGCGGTTAACAGCCTTTGACAGCTACAACTATACAACTACCTGCCAAGGCCCTCTTAATCCAGGTAGCTACACCTGTGACCATCCAGGTTATTGTGGTGTGCATGCCTGGACCTCTTGTGAGTCCATTTGAATGGAACTTCAGTAGGGACCGTTGTTATCAACACTATTTTCCCCAACAGATAATGGGACTTATTGGAATAATATGCAAGTCTCTCCTTCTCGCCATACTCGCTGAACTGACAGTGGCTTGACTCAGGAGCATGGGGGCTATAGGTAAGGAGGGCAAGGGTTAAGGTAGGAAAGGAAGGGTAGGGCTAGGAGAGGGAGGGTAGTAAAGAATAGGTTTACCCACTGAATAGGTCAACAGATGGCAAAAGTCTTGGGTAACGCGAGGTCAGCACCGCGCGAGGCCCCACCACCACCCCATCAGCTCGCTCAGGTAGTCTCATGGTTGTTAGCGAACAACACGGCAGACTGGGAGCAGCGGTATGTAACAACCACGATATCCACTAAACACTGCGTTGTCAGCGATATTATCACATAGTCAGGAGGAGTTCAGTGTGACATCTTGTGAAGCTTCCATCCACCAGAAGAGGAGGAGGAGGAGGAGAGAGGACACGGGAGGACCCACAGTAGTGTCCCTGGACCGCCTCCATTACTGCACCTGAGGGGGAATATAGAGGCATCAGTTAAAACTACTGCGAGCATCAATGTCCGTTAGGGTGTGGTGGTGCTGGTGGACAGCTGGCTTGGCAAAGTGTGCAGCTATACGTGCTTCTGTGTCTATTCGTCTCTTACTTTGACCAATTTTTGGTTAAAGTTTCTCTCTACCCTCAGTGTTAACCTTTAAACACACACGCGCGCGCGCACACACACACACACACACACACACACACACACACACACACACACACACACACACACACACACACACACACACTCACTCACTCACGCACTCTCACACTCACTCGCTCACGCACTCTCACACTCACTCGCCCACAAAATTTATTTTAAATGACATAATTAAATGCAGCACACCAAAGAACTCTATTGCACATATTACTCTTGTATTGGAATTAAACACACACACACCCATATATATATATATATATATATATATATATATATATATATATATATATATATATATATATATATATATATATATATATATATATATATCCTATTTTAGATGCATAAATATACATAATTAGAAAGTCAGTATATATTTGGGCATACAAAAAAATAATAAAAAAAGGATTCCTTAACTAGAACAACTGTCTTGAAAAACGCGCCACTGGAACAAAAAAATGTTTTGACAAAGCAATGAAGTAAAGCGTACAGGCAATAGAGTTAGAGAATCCTTTTGTTTAAACCAAGAGGCATACGAAGACCACAAAGTTTGATTATGTTAAGGGAGCGCTCAAGTACAGCAAAGGGCAAGTTCAAAGTAATATTCTCCTCGGATGCTTCGGCTGGGAACTTTGACCTTATATGATAAATTTTTGCTCGGTAATGATACCACCAAAGAACAGAAAAAATATTACAATCTGGTAGGAAAGTTTTGATATGCTCTATAGTGTTTAAGAAGTGATTTAATATTTATGCGGCGTTTGGACAATGTCAGCAGAAGATACGGATAATGACAGCTGTGGATATTGACAATGTCAGCAGAAGATACGGATAATGACAGCTGTGGATATGGACAATGTCAGCAGAAGATACGGATAATGACAGCTGTGGATATGGACAATGTCAGCCGATGTATATATCAAACGAACAGTAACATACACTGAAAAGCTAAATTGAAGAGAAGCAAAGAATAAAAGTGTGTATTTGTTCAAATATAAAGAAGAGCCCTTAAATTAGTGTGTATAGGTCAGGAAAAGCTCATTATCTGAGGATTGATCAATATAAAGTACATTATTACAGTTACAAATAATGTACAAGAATATTGGTGGTAAAATCACTAGCAAGAATATCAGTGGTACCCATATGTAAAATAGGCATCATATCAAACTAGAGAATATTTAAAAAGATTAAGCAGAATTTGAAAAGACAAAGCAGATTATAGACAACATCCCTAAGTAATAAAGATGCAGATCTGTAAATAATAGCATGCAGTAAAACTAGATCTTGTAACCCTGGTGTTAGACCCCGGCTAGATGGGCTACCTTTCCCTCATTATCTCTGGGAGAAATGAACTCCACCATACTACCAAAAATAATTATAATGAAAGATTTGTTGCAAATTCTTGAAGGGGGTGGGAACATTGCTATGTTATTTAGCATTTTTTTTTTCAAGAATCACAACCATAACTATCCCTAATGGGGAACATGCATGAGAGTCGGCATCTGATGCTACTGATGCTGCTGTATGAGCTTTCTGTATCTTTCTGTATCGGTCGTTGCCATTCATCTTTGTATCATTACTTACCTGATCTATGTCACTAATTCAAAATTAAGATTAGTTATTACAATGAGGACATTGCTTATTCGTTTTCGGCTGTACACAGTGGTTCACACAGACAAGGAAAGGTAACTAACCACTTGGGCTGGACGGTAGAGCGACGGTCTCGCTTCATGCAGGTCGGCGTTCAATCCTCGACCGTCCACAAGTGGTTGGGCACCATTCTTCCCCCCCCGTCCCATCCCAAATCCTTCCCCTGAGTGATTTATGAAGATTAAGCCACTTAAGATGTGGCATGGGCATGAATAACCCGCAACTTTGTCCTTATCCTGATCCGTTCCAAGTGCTATCAAGTCGTAATGGTTTGACGTTTTCCCCCTGATAGTTCCCTTCCCCCTCCGGTCACCTGAAGTGAAAATGTTTAGCGTTTTGTGAAAGTCTTGAGACTAGAACATAAACCAGATTTGTTTCGATGCTAGCATTTTACGATCAGTTTTTAGACCGTGCTAATCTCACAGCAAAAACATTATTATGAATACAGTACTTTAGAAACTCCCTCAGTTTCAATTCCGGAGAGTACGTGTGTCTTCGTAGTACTATAAGATACAAGGGGATATATATAACGTTTCAGAGACAACATTTATGTAATAACTTAGATGTTTAAATCAACATTAACCCCATTTCCTTTCAGGTATAATTGGCTTCGTTCTGTACTCACAATCTGGGGATCCCGGGTTCAATTCCCGGGCGGGACAGAAATGGTTGGGCTCGTTTCCTTTCACTTACTGCTAGGTGAACAGAGGCATTGCATAGGTACCTGGGAGCTAGGTAATTATTGTAGGGTTGCATCCAGGGAAGGATCAGTAGTTGCATCTTGGGATGATGGAGGGAAACTCGATACAAGCCGATTGATGAAGATTAAGCCACCCAAAAGGTGGCACGGGCATGAATAGCCCGTAAGTGGTAGCCCTTTTGAGCCATTACCAGTATCAAGAGCTGATACTGGAGATCTGTGGAGGTGCGACTGCACCCTACGTGACGGGAGATGTCTCCCGTCGATACAAGCCTAAATGACCACATATATATATAACTGGCTTTCTGTCCCAAATAAAAACGAATTATGGTCTGTCTAAAGACTCCATTCCACAGGAGAACAGTTTTGAAGAGACGTATTACTGAATATGGCTAAGTCAGTTCCATATAACGTCCTTGTGGTATTTCCTACGTCTGAATTTTTTAAATACTCTCCATTTTTTCTTGGCTCCTTTACCCCTGCCTATAAGATAACAAATACACAAGATATATGTGCTCAAGAAACAGGCTGGAAAGGTATCATTACCCTGGGCAGTAAGCAAGTACAGCGCTCAGATGAAATAATTAAAATTTAAATTTTGCTGTAATATTTTTTTTCGACTTAGTGTCCCTGTGCAACAAATCTGAAATTTGAATCCAAAGTCAAGATATCAATTTGACGTGGAAGTCAAAATGCATTCCAGTATTCTATTACTGGGGGATATATTTTACTCTATTTTGTTACTTCCGCTACTGTGGAAGCCTCAGTAGCAAGAGTAGCATCAGGCACCACCTGGATGTCACCCAGAGACTTGAACTAAGCTAACTCTACAAAAGGTCACCCATTTCCTGTAGAGTACTGCAGTTTACAATGAGCAGATATACTTGGGAACGGCTGCGGTATTCCTTCCTATGAGTAACTATTTTTTTTTATGATTGACAGTATAATTGTTATACTGTTAAATAGTTAATACAAAAAATAGTTACTGATGGGGAGCAGTCAAGTGGTGTTAATACTGATTGGTGCATTGTGTGTGTGTGTGTGTGTGTGTGTGTGTGTGTGTGTGTGTGTGTGTGTGTGTGTGTGTGTGTGTGTGTGTGTGTGCTAGTTATCAGTCGTCTATATTACAAGTGAAACATTCTTCAATTGTTAGAAAATAGGTGGCCTTCGTGACTGGCAACTTCATGGGGGGGAATATGACACGGCGTTTGGGGTGAGTGGGTGGATGGGTGGGGTGGGGGTGGGGTCGTGGGTGGGTGGGTGGGTGGGTGGTGTGGGTGGCCAGGGTGGCCAAGGGGAGGTCGAAACTCACCAGGGTGCCAGGAGTGCTGCCCAGGAGGTAGGGGCTCGATAGCTGTAAAATCATGGCAAAATTTAGGATATTCAAAAAGAGTTCATCACACCAGCAAGAACAGAAACGATTCGGCCCTCCACCTTGGTTTTTTTTTGGAGTGATTGTTAGGATGTGAGTGACCAGCATACACACACATGAAGGTACGTCTCAGTGCCGACGTTTCGATCCGTCAACACAACGTAACTACAACGTTGCTAGTGTATTGCGAGGGAAGGACCCAAACGTCGACACTTCATATATATATATATATATATATATATATATATATATATATATATATATATATATATATATATATATATATATGGGTTTGGGTTGTTTGCAACCTCGTTTTTGTGACTTATACTCACCAAATATGAAGCTGGTAGGAATTATGAAGCTGGTGGGGAATTATGAATCTGGTAGGAATTATGAAGCTGGTGGGGAATTATGAAGCTGGTGGGGAATTATGAAGCTGGTGGGGAATTATGAAGCTGGTGGAGAATTATGAAGCTGGTGGGGAATTATGAAGCTGGTGGGGAATTATGAAGCTGGTGGGGAATTATGAAGCTGGTGGGGAATTCTGACAGATGTTAGCAGTTATGAAGAGACTGAACTTGAGACGTAATTCAAGGGGGCAAGTTAATGCCAAGCATTATCAAGGTGGAGAGCCGCGAACCAGGTTTTCAAGACAGTACTGTTTAATCATACTCTTGACATCTCATGGAAACTCTAGCATGTAACATTCGTAGTTAAGATAGCAAATAACAATTGGTGCAACGCTCTATTGAGCCACACACTTCTTCTTTTTGTATAAGTAATTTCTCTTCTAACATGCAATAATATATATATATATATTTTAATTAAAAAAAAAGCTGTATCTAATTAAGTACAATGTGGGATAGTAAACAATATTATGGAAAGCGAATGTGGTAAACAATGAGAGTGTTGAGATTTTTTTTTTTTTGGTAAGTCAAACAAGTTGAGGTTAAGTAAAGCATGCGGTAATAAGACACATTAAGAGGTAAAGATAGGGGGAGGGGGGATTACTTTTTTGAGACTTTTGCATGCAATCTCCACAGTGCCGAGATGAGAATCTTGATGCTCTAACACAATCTTTAAAGACGTGTGTGTGTGTAGACTTGAGACTAAACTATCAGCAAATAAAAATCATCAGTTTTGATAAAAAAAAGGGGTGGATAATCCATACTTTTGGGGGTGGTCTATATATATTTTTTGAGGGGGGGGGGGGATTCTATTTTTTTTTTGGTGGGGGGATTCTATATTTTTTTTTTGGTGGGGGGATTCTATATTTTTGTTTTCTTAAGGAATAACTAATGATATACAGGAGAAATAAACATGACTGGTACAATAGACAGTTATGAATATTGATATTATATCAGGGAAGAGAATTACTTCATTCTTCTCCAACAACATATTTGAAGGATTCACATCTCTAAATTAACAAATGTTTTAAGAGCAAAACAAGTGAAGATCAAAATAGCATAAAGGAGAACATATACATCTAACACAAGAGAGAACATTGAGGACAAAACGACAAGGAACAAAGAGATGGGATGTATAATGGAGAAGAGGAAGGGGGGGGGAGGTATGGGGGTCCTAAGGATGGGTCACCCCTTCCCTTAACCCCACCACCACCCCCCCACACACCTGTGGCACCCTCCTACACACCTGAAACTGCTGTACCGGATAAGCGCCCACCATAGACGCTGGTTGCTGCAGCTGCGGCATTTGCCCCGTGGGTAGCTGAGGCTGTGGCACTCCTTGCCAGGCTGGCACTCCTGCCATTCCCGCCATCCTGAAAGACATAATTAAATTAACAATCGTCCTATCACATAACAGCTCTTAAACATTATACAAAAGGTAATATCAAACTCTCAATAACGCTAAACCATTGCTGTTAATGTCCCCGCTATGGGACTGAGGCAAGGCTCTATCCCACTAGTGAACTGGACAATGGTATGAGGATAGACGTACCGGCGGTGACACTATCAGAGCCTTCTACAATGTCTCGGTAGTCATTAATGGAATCAACGTTCTTAACATCATACAGAGCCTATAGAGCACTCTATAGAGAGCCTCGGCTCGTTCTTAACCTCTAGGAAGCACCACCCACACAAGACATACAGGTGAAAGCTTTCGGTCAAATCTACAGTTTCACTGATTACTTAAAAGTCTTGGAGCTATGCAAATTAACATTCTACTAGGCCTAGAGATGTAGGCCTGGCAGGCACGTGAGCTATTATGTATTATATACATAGAATATACATAGAAGACAATATGTTAGTGCACATGGTGGCCCCCAAAAGTGCGCATACCCTCATTCACACAGGATACCATGTATAACACCCAGTTAGCAAGGAAATCAAAATTAAAAATGAACAACTTCTACAAGCAAAAGTACACACACACACACACACACACACACACACACACACACACACACACACACACACAGTAGCTGTGTGTGTGCTGTAGCCAGCCAGTAATAACCTTCGAGGAACGCATACAAGCTCACAAAAGGTCTTCATATTATCGATCTCTGGCAAGAAACGACCCTGGAATACTTTCTCAGTAGCCGTTAAGGTGCTATTATTATTATTATTACCTATGATATTCATAAACCTATTGATCGCCGGCTGTGAACAGGAGTGCCTGCAAGGCTGCAAGGTAGCAGGTGCATGGTGTGTACTCACCTATTTGTGCTTGCAGGATCGAGCATTGACTCTTGGATCCCGCCTTTCCAGCTATCGGTTGTTTACAGCAATGACTCCTGTCCCATTTCCCTATCATACCTAGTTTTAAAAGTATGAATATTATTTGCTTCCACAACCTGTTCCCCAAGTGCATTCCATTTTTACACATTTTACATTTTTACACAGTACACATTCCACACATTGTGTGTGTGTACTCTTTTGTATGCACCTAGTTGTGCTTGCAGGATCGAGTATTGACGCTTGGATCCCGCTTTTCTAGCCGCCAGTTGTTTAAAGCAATGACTTCTGTCCTACTTCCCTTTCATATGTAGTTTTAAAACTATGAATAGTATTTGCTTCCACAATGTGCTCCTTTTGCTCATTCCATTTTGTGTGTACTCAGTTGTGTTTGCGGGGTTTGAGCTCTGGCTCTTTGGTCCCGCCTTTCAACCGTCAATCAACTGGTATACAGATTCCTGAGCCTATTGGGCTCTATCATATCTACACTTGAAACTGTGTATGGAGTCAGCCTCCACTACATCACTTCCTAATGCATTCCATTTCTCAACCACTCTGACACTAAAAAAGTTCTTTCTAATGTGTGTGTGTGTGTGTGTGTGTGTGTGTGTGTGTGTGTGTGTGTGTGTGTGTGTGTGTGTGTGTGTGTGTGTGTGTTTACCTATGTGTACCTGAAGGTTGAGCTTCAGCTTCTGGTATCCGCTGTTGAGTCACTGGGTCCACATATCGCAATAGAATCGAACCCTCGCATTATTCAACCCACTCTTAAAGTTATGTATGAAGCTAGTCTCGGTTTCCTCTATCCGGCTCCATCCGGACACTCAAATGCTTTCGAGTCCCTCAGACGCGTCTGAGGTCCTGATGTCAACAATGCCCTGTCGTCCTGTCCCTCCTTATGCTTGTCAGTTTAGTTCCGCAATGTTCCCTTAGTTTAAGGACCAAGGCCAGGGGCTCATCAAGCATTTACGCCATTACGAAACCTGTGCATCTTTTCTAAATCACGTCGGCTGTGTTTACATTTATTAAGTTGTTTGCGAGCTTCGAAACGTCACAACCCAAGGTTGTTATTGTTATAAACAACCTCGTAGTCTTTCGGTGCTTATAAACTATTTCATTAAATGGAAATAAAGCTGCCGTGATTGAGGAAAGATGCACAGGTTTCGTAAGGTGGTTGATGAATCCCTGCCTAATCTTGCAGCAATCCTTTGGACTTTTTACAACGTTGATCTGTACCGTTTAAGGAAACCTTTTTCCTAATATCCGCGAGATTCATTCCGGTACTTAAGTTGGCCATTGTGACCAATTAATTAGGACTTAATTAATTAAGAATTAAGTATTCCTGTTAAGACCTTTGTACTCTTGCCCCTCGTTAGTTTCACTCGTAAAGAATACTTAAAGAATGTGTTCCATATCTGTATTTGAGGTCTGGTGATTAGAGAGACCGAACAGAGACGTCATTTGAGGTCTGGTGATTAGGGAGACCGAACAGAGACGTCATTTTGAGGTCTGGTGATTAGAGAGACCAAACAGAGACGTCATTTGAGGTCTGGTGATTAGGGAGACCGAACAGAGACGTCATTTTGAGGTCTGGTGATTAGAGAGACCGAACAGAGACGTCATTTGAGGTCTGGTGATTAGAGAGACCGAACAGAGACGTCATTTTGAGGTCTGGTGATTAGAGAGACCGAACAGAGACGTCATTTGAGGTCTGGTGATTAGAGAGACCGAACAGAGACGTCATTTGAGGTCTGGTGATTAGAGAGACCGAACAGAGACGTCATTTGAGGTCTGGTGATTAGGGAGACCGAACAGAGACGTCATTTTGAGGTCTGGTGATTAGAGAGACCAAACAGAGACGTCATTTGAGGTCTGGTGATTAGGGAGACCGAACAGAGACGTCATTTACAATCTAGTTGGATGAGTCGACAGTCTCACCTGTTCATCACTTGGTGATGGCAACTCGTCGTCTGTGTTCAAAACCAGAACACAGATTTACAAGGGAGTTCCTCTTATTACATAGAAACGCCTCCAAATGTCCACGTTAAAGCCAAGGTGTAGAACAATTGGAGAACATCGTCTCTTGGAATCAGTTCATAACTAGAGATATTACATGTTCACTACACAGAGAAATCGCGTTATTGTGATAGATGGATGACAAAATCCCCAGGAGCCGTGATGGAGGTTCGAACCTATACGTTGGGTTTCACAAGTAATGTCATTATAATTTAGGTAAACAGTTTGCTGTATATTTGTGTAAACCAACGATACTATAAATGTACGAAACATTTATGAATAGAGTTGTTCAATTTCAGCTTTGATTGTGTTTGCGTAGATAACGTTACAGGAATGCTTGGATCAATCCAAGTTACGGCTTCCGTGGCGTCACACACCTGCAAGGCGTCACACACCTACACGAGGTCACACACACCTGTAACAACATATTTCGAGCGAGAAAGTCGAGCGTAAATTGAGAATACCGGATTAGCGCATACTAAGGGAGGTCACATATTCGATAATTGTGTTTGTATATGCTCGTAGTATGCGCTGATATGTTGCGGTTATGTTGTTGGCACTGTAGAGTGTCACGTCAAATATTGGTGCCAGTGTCATGTCAAGTGTGGGTGCCATTGTCATGTCAAGTGTGGGTGCCATTGTCATGTCAAGTGTGGGTGCCATTGTCATGTCAAGTGTGGGTGCCATTGTCATGTCAAGTGTGGGTGCCATTGTCATGTCAAGTGTGGGTGCCATTGTCATGTCAAGTGTGGGTGCCAGTGTCATGTCAAGTGTGGGTGCCATTGTCATGTCAAGTGTGGGTGCCATTGTCATGTCAAGTGTGGGTGCCATTGTCATGTCAAGTGTGGGTGCCATTGTCATGTCAAGTGTGGGTGCCAGTGTCATGTCAAGTGAGAGTTCTAATGTGTATTGTGAACATTTAAAAACAACAACTTGTAAACCAGGAACCAACATGACCCAATGGGTATTAGGCAAGATTTGTACAACTAATCAAAACTCAGGATGGTGAATAGATGAGTCACGTGATCCTAAGGAAGTCTGAAGTGATGGTGGGGATTAGTGCCAAGACTAAGCAAGGCCCCAAGGCAAAGCAAGGCCCCAAGGCAAAGCAAGGCCCCAAGGCTAAGCAAGGCTCCAAGACTTGACTGTGGTGGTGGAATTAACCCAAGTGGCAGTGTCCTCTACTCGTCGTGTGCAAATATTAAGAATCAACAGGACTTGGGATTAATATTAGCTTTCACCGAGACGCGCACTTAAGGAGCGAGGCGGGACCCAAGAACTCAAGACTGCGGCGTCATTCTTGTACAGCTGCTTGAGGCTTTGAAGAATTGCAATGTCCCCGGGTGGACAGTGACCAAAATCAAGCGGACGGCTCTGTGAACTAGATTATCTACAGTGATGACGGTGGATTCTCTTTAGACAGGGAGAACGTAGCGTAAACAGCGGCTCTCACCAGCGAGACGGTAATTACGAAGCACGGGTCACCTGAAGTCATATTGTGCGCGCGCGATGTCATCTCTAAATTGGAAAACAGTAGTACATTGATGCTTTCCAATACCAGCATTTTGAACCATGTACCAAGAGCTATCAACCAGTCTGCTTCAGATGCCATGGCGACGTGAGACTACCAATTGGCCAGTTAGCTCTCCAGGGCTGCAGATCTCTGCTAAAGGAATATCACGTTTCGCTAATTCTCGATTACTAGTGAACAATGTCACGTCCATTGTATTCACCATCGAGTTTTTGAAAACTATTGTCCCTCTACATCACTGTTGAGTAATTAAGTATCATCTGGCGCCCCGCGATGGTTTGCTGTTGAATTTCTCTTCTAGAAAAGTGTTTTACTCCGTGCACACAGGAAAAACATTCTTGAATGTTGTTCTAGAACATTCTAGAATGTTGTTCTAGAATGTTCTAGAACATTCGCTGCTCAGAACTCTTTGTTATGGATCTGCTTGTTCGTGTGAGTAATATCGGAAGTGTGTCTACATGTTCGCTCAGGCATTCACGCTAGCTAATCCATACACACGACGTCAAATACACGCACACACATGTATATATGAATACACAC